GCGACCCCTAGCCAATGTCTTCGGCGAGTATTTGTCCTCACACCCGACCTGCTGCACCCTACTGGTCACGACTTCTAACTGGAACCCCAGGCAACTACCTACCTGAATAGGGCAAGTCACTAGTGAGCACCTCATTGATATTCAAGTGTTGGTTTGTAGGGATTTGAGAAGTCGTGACCAGTAGGGTGCAGCAGGTCGGGTGTGAGGACAAATACTCGCCGAAGACATTGGCTAGGGGTCGCGCTATGTCGTGAATTGGCAGAAGTTAGAATTCATGGACCATTGGATCGGGTCCCAGTGGCTTAATGGTATACGAGCTAGCTCGCCTTGTAACCAGAAGGTCCTGGGTTCGAATCCCGGTGGGTGCGTACTGCTGAAGAGTCCCAAACTAGGACGAAACAGCTGTCCAGTACTCCCAGGTTTTCCAATGGTTCTCTAACTAATGTCAGCTCATGATGAAAATCCTGTAACCAATCAAATCCCTACAAACCAACACTTGAATATAAGGATTTTTATTTGAATTTAGTCTTGTTGCTTGGTGTATGTTGCTTGAAATTCATTTAGACTGGACTTGATGGATACCATAATCGAATTGTTTTCTCAGAATTCACACAATAGAAGCTTAAATAAGTAGTAGTTTGATCAACACTCTTTGGGTCATTTGTACATGTTTTAATTGCTCTCTGACACAATATTGTGATATAGTATCATAAACTTCTCTTTGTTCAAATGATTAGAAGAATTAGTTCACTCCAGGGTTGTTAACTACTTCATGTATCCAGCTTGAACGCCACCTGGTATAATTATCAAGAGAATCTATGGCTATTTTTCCTCATGAATATTTTTCCACTGACCTCATCACTGCCGTAAACTAGCATTGTATATTCATTGTTCGTCATTGCTGGAAAACAATATTAATTCTTCTGTTGTATATCTTCAAGTTAATGCAGTTCCATAAGGCTTAATATTCTATACTTAATGGATTGTTTTAATACAGCCGAATACTGCTTTGAATTAATATTATCCCCCTAGTTTCTTAGCCACTTGTAAATACAATCGTATTTGTTTCATGGCTGTATCTGTAGACAATCTGCAAGCAAGTTGTAATGATGATATCCGACTGTCAGTCTTCTGTTGTGATCACCGTTGTACACTGAATACGTATATGTAGTCCTGATGTGTACTTGGACTTCTATGATGCTATTTCACTGTATGTGTGTGAAATGGAACATCTGGTTTCCCTCATCGGGATCCTCAATATTGATTGTCACTGGTTAAGCACTTGTCTTCCTATAGACTAAAATGTACTTCAAGCTGTCACGCGTTAAATTTTTTTTCATTGAACAGGAGTCAACACATCATTTAGTCGATCTGTTTTTTCCTGTAATAAAAGATTCTCAAGTTTTGAATCTATTCATCTGTTGTTCACTTTGTTAGACTTTTTAGTTGAAAAATTGTAATATCCAACGTCTGTGTATCATAAGGCAATTTTTATAGTTCATTCTCAATTTCAGCTATTAAGTCTTGCTGTCAAGGTGAATTACTAAAATAGTATCTGTAGAAAGTTTTTTACTTTGAATCAGTAAGCAAGTAAGTCGATAATTGTGTAAATGAGTGAGTAAGTGTCACATGGTAAAGTTGAGAAGAATCGTGAAGTGGTGCATAAACAACAATATAAATAAAGTTTGCGCGTCGAATCGTAGCTTTCTGCCTCACCTCCTCTTATTCTTATTTCCCTCTGCTATGTCTGGCTCCATAAAATATGATGTCTCATTGTATGCTTAGCGCCGTACTGTTACCGGTATTTTTCGCTGGTCGTTGTTTTCTATTGTTTCAGTCCCTATTAGATTGTGTTATTTTCTTTTTTCTTATTATGGGCTGTAACTATTTACGGGATGTAATCAATACTACCATTAAAAAACCATACTTTTTACTGAAATCTGTAAAGCAACCAAAGTGATGTCATATTGAAATATGTGTGCATGTGTGTATTGTTGAATGATGTGTCATTTTCTGTTGCTTCTTCTAAAGAATGTCTAAAAAATTTATAAAGTTGAAATTTTCGAAAATAACGATAACGTCAATGTTTCGTGTCACTTTTATTTTAAGATTATGTGTTTCGTTCGCATAGAGCAATTTTAGTCGTAGGAGTGGTTTCCATAGTAAATGATGATAACTATCTACCACCCCGTGTCTTGAAATCAAATATAGCAGGTTGGTAACGGGGGCACTTCTGTTTATTCTATTTTTATACTAATATTTCAGTCAAGATATTCGGGTGACGTTGTGCCTAACGAAGCAGTAGCTCACTGGCTTTGACTTTAGCTTTTCCACCAACCGGTCATAGGTCCGGATCCCGCTTTTCTCACCTGGCTTCAAGCTGTTATCAGTATTTCCTAGACGAATGATGCCTAACTCAGATACACGAGATTATAAATGACTTGAATTTCTGACTATTCCAATGTATTTGAATATCCTTGCTGTATGCTGTTGACGTAGCACAACACTAGTATATCGATGCATTATTTCATCTAAGAGTCGATCGGTTTATGGTGTACGAGACCATGGAGAAATTATGTAACATTTTAATTGTATGGTCACTATTAAACAAGATAAAGGGATATAAAGTCAAATTAACTACTATGTTATCCAAGTAAAATAAAGGAATAACGCAACCCAGCTACCTAGTACCAGTAGTATGAGCTACATAGTATGTAATAGTTTATGGTACTACCAGATTGTTCAAACCGAAGTAGATAGAGTGATCAGCTTTAAGCTAGGAATGCGATTATAGAAATGGAGCGTTGTAACCACTTATTATGTCTGTATTTGTCTTTTACTTCTCCAGTATGTGTAGTATTTTTTAAAATATTGGATTGTTTTGTTCAATGTCTTAATAAGTATCATAGATTTGAAGTAACTCACCGTAGAAACCGTAGTTCACTCCAATAGATTATGCATGCATGCTTTTATTACTTTACAAGGTCCTGCCACCCAAGTGCCTAATGCAAGGAAAGTGAAATTGTGACAAATACTGTCTTTATACATATATATATATATATATATATATATATATATATACATATATTTTGGATACTGGTCATCACTCTTAAAAATATTTTCGCTGATTCCACAATGTGTATTTAAGTGAGTCTGTCTAGTTGTCCGTACAGTCTCATAGTGAAACCCCTGGCCAAACTATATTCCATGTGTATAGGTGTTCAATTGTCTCCGACTCACTTTTTTCATTCGTTTTAACATCTTTTTTGTCTTAACAACTATCCTTCATAAATTTTTGTTTTTTTTTACTCTGCTTTTTAATGATAAATTCTCATCAGCGTTTTAGTTATCTAGACGAATTATGTTCCATCGTAGTGTGTACATCGTATGACTATGCCAGTGTGAATTCGCCTGTGTTTATCTGTTTGGCGAAATGTAGATGGCCTTGAACGCTTCACTTATGCATGAAGCTAGCATTGAAGTACTGGGTGACTAGACTAACATGCTATTCAGCACAAATGCCACATTACTATTAGTATACTAATAATAATTACAAAGGTAATTATGCTTTGCAAAAAATATAATTACAATGGATGTAACACAGCGTATTCTTTTGATGTTGAAATTAAGAATTCTGACAGAAAGGAGAGAAGTAACCTACAATCACATTTATACGCCATACCTGCACGCATCCAATAGTCTACTTTATCTTCTTTATCATGTCTGTCGTGTCAGAAGCATCTTATTATTGTTTTGTAAATGTGCTAGTAGTTTGAATAATAGTACTTATGTCATCTATCTTACAGTAATTTCATCTTTTTTGAACACTACGTTTCAAGACAAAAGTGGTGGGAAAAATGAGCTTTCTAAATTTATTTACAAAGCTGAAACACGTTAGGTGTGCTAGAAGCCATCTGATAGCAATCCTCTGAACTATGTGGTCAGACGTTTGAGCTACTCAACTGTGTTGTTTGATTTGATTTTAATTTAAAAATTGAGTAGTCTGAAAGCTGTGTATCAAAATTGTCTAGAGAACTGGTGACCACTGAACAGAAATTCAACTGAAGTTTTAGACTATCCAACACTTAGAATCCTGTACCGTACTAAGATCAAACCTAGAGTTGTTAGGTCTCCTAATAAGCACACTAACATTCAGCCACTTGTTTGCAGTCTAACGGCTTGCCTTCTTCACTGTCTGCGCACACAACTTCATGAACCAAAAATATTACATTGATCAATAGTTTAACAATCATAATAAATATCTGATACATTATTATTACTACCACTATTATTATTATTCATTTTATTTTGTCAATGAGCTATTTTTCTTCAATAGGATTACGCCAGTACGGACAAAAGAATTGAGCTATAAATGTTATAAAACTTCCAGCTCCTCACGATTAACAAAATTCTAATGAGCAAGTTCCAAATAGGTATGTAAATAACCCTAAAAACTTGCAGACCAATTATTGGTATCAATAGAAATCACTTGGGGAATAAAACATCATGAAGAAGTCAGCTATCAGAGAAAGAAAAAAACTGTCTTAGTAAACAGTAAATCATTTCTACACTTTTAAAGAAATTCTGAACTCAAACCCACTGTTAACCAGTCACACACGCACAATTTCTCGAAAAAGGTGGATGTGAGAACAAAACTGTAATCAGACTACGTAGCATCAATAATTTTGCATTATTGTCTCAGCTGTAATGTTGTTTCAGACAGGTGAAGGTTTGTTACTCTTAGTGAATTACTGTCTCTAATGCTGGAAGCTGCACCTCATTGATATAGACTTCTGGTCATCAATTGTTGTATATTGTTTCCGAACCCATTTCGGCACCACCAAATTTTGTATAATTTTGTATGTATAGTCGTTAGTCTTCGTGCAACAGGTTCAGCCTATAATTTATTCCTACTTAAAGTTACTACTGTTTGATTTCGTTGATTCTGTTTTTTCTTTGTTGTTGTTGTAGAATAATATTTATTACTAATTTTTGTTTAGATACGACCCAGACATGGATCAATGGATACCTATAGCCTCTATGCATAGCCGCAGGATTGGATTAGGAGTTGCTGTACTAAATCGGTGAGTCTTTTGCGTTTCTTCTGTTGCTGTTGGAGGAATTAACTATCTTACTTCAAAGTTCGTGTGTTTTTCGATAATTCACTTCTATTACACAATATGATTATTCGATGTTGCGTTGCTATGATCTATCATCTTAAACAATAACAGTGCAGTTGACACGGAAGCAGTATTGACTTAACTAACATTATTGTAAAGCCTTTCACTTTGGCACTAAATTATAGGGGTTTGGATTTCAGATAGATGATGGAGTTTTTTCTAACTGTTATTTAAATGGGTGAAGGAAAGCTTCTCGCTAACTCTCAATGTCTGGCCTAGCGTTTTATTACCTAGATACGTGCTATTCTGTTTAATCTACATCAAAGTCATTCGGCCAACTTTAGAAATAGATTATCATAACATTCTCAGATTTAGAGCTGGGAATGATACCTACCTCAGTTCAAGAGCAACTATCACAATTGACATTATTATTACTATAAAGTGTAAACACTTGTTCATATGATCAATTTATGCATTATGAAATGATATTGAGTGAATAAGTTGTTTTAATTAGATACAATTCTATCTGTGAACGTGTGAGCATTAAAATTATTAGCTTTGACAGCTGCAGTTCTAGCATCATGTCTTAAGTAGTATAATAGTTGTTGGTAAACAAACACTTTAATTTTGTTGTTTTTATCGGAGGAAAAAATCATTAAGTCTGTATTTGTTTTCTGTTCATTCTCCCTTACTTTTCGGTCATAATTCAATCTCAAAAATTGTTTGAAGTATTAAAACCAATTGTTCTTGATGCGATTTATTTATTGTTGTTTGTTTTTTGCAATGCCTCCAACTCTATTTGTCAGCTGCTTTTTAATTTGATTGTGTCATACTATACTACTACTACTACTACTACTTTAGATAGTCAGTAGTATAACACAAGTACACTTGGGCTGGGAAAAGTAGCAGTATTCAGCAGTGGCTTTTTTTATTGATTGTTTGTGAAAAAAGTATCATAGTCTTTAAAAATATTAAATAGAAACGTAGGTTTTCTGAGTCTCTTTAAGCCACAATAACAACAAAAACAACAAGTATCTATGTTAGCAGATATCGTTCATTCAAATGTGTGTCATTGGGTGATCACGACTGTGTGTTTTCAAGTTAAAGGGGTGTATTTCTGTAGAATAAGCAACATTTAAAGCTTGATGTATTTTCTTCCCAACAGTGTTATCTAATTTTGTTTAAATATTTCCTAGTTTGTTATATGCTGTTGGTGGTTTCGACGGTGAAAAACGTTTGAATACAGTTGAACGTTACAATCCTGAAACTGATAATTGGGAAGAGTTAGCATGCTTAAATCGTGCTAGATCTGGTGCAGGTAAGCAAATATATATCTGTCTCTAATTTTGTGTTTGTCGTATTGTCTTTCTGTAAATGAAAGTTCCTGCTTTCTAAGCGTGATTCAGCTGTATCACGTTGCTCTCCAATAAACCTGCTGTATTTATCGGTAAAGGGTGATATAAAAAAGCACTGAATACTCGTTCCGCTCTACGTTTAATGTTTTATTATGGTGAGCACGTTCAACCTCGTATGAAATATTTAAATCTCAAATTGAGTAAAACTATTCTAGATAAACTAGCTTTCAGTAACTCTCTAGTGGATATCACATCATCACAACTGCTGAAAAAAATACTGTGCTGTTATGAAGTGATTTTCCTTGACTATTACTAACTCATACTTATATCCAGAATTAAACAAAAGCTAGCTCCACGGATTGCACTGGTTAATGCTGTATTAATAGGATATTTAAAATTCAGAAACCGCAAACATATGCACGCATATTATGAATAATCACACAATGCACACATGTTTTTATAATCCTCAAACAAACTCAGACACACACATTAATAAACGGACATTTAGTTATTGTCACATGTATGGGGGAATAGACAATAGAGTTACTATACTCTATACTAATGCATCACATGTTACTGTACACAGAATTAGAAGGTCCGTATATGACTCATTGTTTTGTGAATGAATTAGATATATGGCTGTATAGATATTTACAAATCAGCACAAATACTTGACCAGACAACTCCCATAATCGGTCCTATGGAAATTCGGTCGTGTCTTACACTTCTAAACCGTAATGCCAACCAACTTCCCTACTGATATCATCTTGGGTTTTGAAGGTTAAATGAACTTGCTCAAGGTCGTGAATGAACTTTGCTTGATGGCTTTTCAGCCAACATGAAAAAAAAATAATGTACTGTAATTTCCAATTCATTATAAAAGGGATTACTTCAAAATCTTCAAATTTCCAGGCGTATCACTGACCACTTAAACTATTTTATCAGATTGTGGTATTGAGCATTACAAGTATTAATTTAACTAAGCTGGGGTTTTGTGTTTAATTACTCATCATTTGCTAACGTACACAACATGATGTTTTTGATTTAATGATTTAATGTCTAATGAATATATTATATTACCTGATCGGTAGAAGTACCAATATCTCCAAAAATGATTGATTAACTTACTGTAAACAGTTAGCAACACTATGTTAGTATTCAGTTTAAAGGTTGTCTTCGTGTTTGTTAAACCTCATACGGGATGTATGTCTATCACTTTACCACCCAGCGGTAAATTCAGGCGTTAACTGCTAAATAATTCTGATTTGAATTAATGCTATATTGAACTGTACTGTGTACATGTTTCATGAACATTGAATTGCGACCATTGTAGGTCTCAAATCATAATTGCTAACTAAAGTTCTTTTGAGTTTTGAAATGGCAATATACTACGAGTTAACTGCCATCAGAAACCTATGACCAGTATCACATAATATCTAAAAATCAATAAATTCAACCTTTCTGATCAATTCTTTTCAATAATTTTAACGCCTAAATCTTCATATTGTGTTCCTAAAGGTACCTTATTCACTCTAGTAGATACAGATATGCAAAAAATAGTACCGAAAAATTCAATCCTAATACAACCGTAATCTGGTGGAAGTATCGTTTTAGTATAGAACTTGTAACAACATCTTATCATTATCATCTATGACCGTCTCATACGCATTTACACAAATCCATTCCACCCGGCTGATTACTAACCCGATACTTCCCTTTTTTGATTTGGTTTACGCATTCAAAACCTCACCACTAAAAATGTCACTTAAGAGAATAGAACTAGCGAGATTTCCAGACAATACTTAATACATGTTCGTCATCATTTCGAAATGATTTAATAGCAGACTGTCAGTTGTATTTGCCAAATTAGTCAGTAAATGATACTGTTACTTTGTAATGTGATAAAGAACCAAAATGGTAGAAAATTAATTTTTACCACCGTATATAAATATCGTTTGACAGTTGGACATCCCTTTTCATTTATCTTGTTTATGCTATTAACAGTTTCTTTTTTCCTACATTAATGCGTTTTCAATATCATTACGGCTTATAATCCACGTTTATGAGCATGTTTTCTTTTGCTGCCTTACTGTAGTATCATTTTGAGTATTTCTCCCCATGTGTATGTTTGTGTAAATTTAGGTGAATTTCTCCTCGTAAACCATATACACATGCCTACTTTGGACACAATAGGAGTGAATAAATATTTGACTAACATTTCTTTTTGTGATGTTTATTTGTTGGCGGCTCCGTCTTATTGGAGACTCCCCAATCGAGTGTGCATTGATCTTAATTAACTACTTTATTACCACTGTGACTCGACTCCAGCATTATCGTTTCATACGCTAGGTGTTACCGGCTTAACAAATGTGCTATGAGACTATACTTTTGTACAAAAGATGTCTGTTGTTGCTTATTGGTGTTCATAATTAACTATTGTCCATCGTTTCTTTTCTTGTTCTTTGAAGCTTCTGTACCGACTGCACTGATCTTCCGGGGTAGGGTCACTAGTGCCACAGCCTCCAGCTTTCCATCTTTCTCCGGGCTTAGGGATTGGCCAGTAAACTAGGCAAGGTTAATCGTGCAACCAGACACAAAAGACTGCAAGAGACAGAGTAAAATAGAGATGTGCTGTTGAAGCCTTATGTTCTAGGGAATAATAATAGTAATGATAAATTGTCCACTATATATATTGTACGCATCAATAAATAAAGGCTAATGCAGAGTGAAGTCATGAAGAGAATTTATACACAAGCTTTCTAGTAGAAATCTGTCATACTAAGAAAAATCAAGAGAAGACCTTACTCGATCCATATTTTTGGAATCTCAAGTGCTGGTGGAAATTTATTCCTCAAGCGTGATATGAAACCAGCGCGATTTATTTTCGTGTTAGATAATTCATTAATTTTGCCATTCTGATAAATACTAAAGCACACGAAACCTTCCCCTAGCGTTTGTTATGAATAACTACGTACATGATTAAGTTAGGCATGACTGTTACAACTAAATCTTGTAATATCTAATGAATTAACCTTGTTTTCGCTGGGTTGGAGTGCCGAAAACACAAATAACTAAGGACAAGTAGCGTTTTTGATCATGAATGGTGGAGATTTTAAGTTAACGTCATTATCTCTGTTATTGTTTTGTTAATAGTTTCCCACTAGATAAATTTCTGCGTCATTATGTATTACTGTGTTTATACACTAGGTGATTGATGTAGTTATTTCGTTTGTGTGTCTCTCTATTATCTCCTCGTCTTCGTTTGTTACAATCGGTTCAATTTTTTCTTCTGGAATTCTGTAGGTAGTTTTCTTTTAATCAATCTGTTTTATATGTCAATAGTTAAAAGTCATGTAAATCTGTCTTGTTAAGAATTTATTTCATACGTGGGGGATTACGTTGATCTACAGTACACAGGTAATATATTCCGATCAGTTAAAGTTTGGCATGTATTCTGTATTTGTAAATAAATGTACGATGATAGCGCGGAAATCATTTGTATGCAGGAATATGCGTATAAAATGCCTATTTAGATGTAAGAGAAATTGAAATCAATTCTCCCTGCAATGTGATAAAGGCGATATGCTGATAGGTCTCAATAACCATAGTATTTAATAATTCTCCTAGTTTCTCTTCCTTGCTTATTATAAAGAGTAAGTGAATTTATCTCACTATCACCACGATTTCCCGTGTAGATAAGATTTCTGCTCTTGTCATTCTTTTTTTTTAAATGAGTACTAATATAATGTTTTAAATTCAACTAATCGAAGTGATGATGTTATATTTTTCTGGTGTGAAAACTGTTGGTGATTGTTACTTCATTTTAGGTTTCCCCTTGAGTCATGTTGCTAGCTAAGTTTATGTATTTGATAAACCATGACTCTGTAATGTTTAGTTGTGTGAGCTGATGCACTGAAACTCTATCATACCACAGCTAGTGTTAAATCAGCTGACTGATGTAAGAGTTAAGTACAATAATAGTAGTAGTATAAGCCAGCAATAGACAATAATAATACACTTCACTAGAGGTATGTAATATCCGAAAAGATTGGACTTCTTAATAAGGTAAGTTTAAGACAATCCTCACTAATTTGCTGATGTTCCAATTTAGGGCATAGCACGTTTTAGTCTTCATAATCTAAGAAGTCAATTCAGCTGCTGTGGTAAATAAACTGTTATTCAGGAGAAGGTTCACTTTTTTTCAAATGACAATAAATAAATGGCGATTAAGGACCTAAAATTTAGTTCTCATGGGCCATTAGATTTCAATCTTAGAGAAGTGAATAATTCTATTCCAGTTTTCGTCACATTTCAATATCCGTCATAAAAGCTGTGAGAGAACCAAGTAGATCCGATTAGCTACCTAGTTGATTGTAGCTTAGCATTAACAAATCATGCTGAATGCAGCCGATCATCTTCGGATAGTTAGAGTGAACATGCTGTCATTCAGTTGCCGTTTTGAAATCCATTTGAAGATGTTTTTCTAACTGGCGATGTATTACCATCGCCGTCAAAACTTGTAGCTACAAATTTTCATTATCTCGAAATTAAGTTACCAGATTAGTGATAATGTTAGGATTTGTTTCGTCTAAAATACTTCATGATGATTGATCAGAGGAATTATTCAGAAGCTAACTCTGATAAAAATGAGTTCCATGCTTCTATTTTTTGGTCTATCCCATTCGTTCATCTGGACGATTTGATGTCTATAGTATGTGGGGAAAATGCGTTAGCGTTTTTGTCAAAATATTAATCCATTAGGTATTATCTACTTATTTTATTGATTTCATCTCATGCTCCAGTAATGTTATCGGGATAGTAATATAGTGTACGGAATCCTACTCTGCTGGCTATATATAAATACAAAACAATTCCAAATTGTTTATTGTTCAGTATTTCTTACTCTTTTTGTTTTTATTATCATTCCACAAAAAAATAAGTCATGTGTTCAGACATAATTGACAACAATAGCGTGCTTCTTTTCTCTGTGTATACGTGCAGTTAGTGTCTGTGCGTAGGTACAGGACTTATTTGTTGTTTATGCTATTAGTTCTAGTATTTTGTTACTGTAGTCAAAACTAGACGAAGAGCGAAGGAAGAGAAATGATTCATCAAGAAAAAAAAAAACGACCAACACTTCACTGTATTTACACACTATCAAATTTCACCCAAATTGTTTTTCCTCATATATCTCATTGTCTAGTATCGGTGTCATTATTAATTTAGTTTCTACTCATGTACACAGGATTACCGTAAGGAGTGTATGTCTGTCTGTCTTTCTATTTATGCGTGTATGTCTAGTAGTAGATGTGACGCTTTCTAGCTTATATTTTTTGATACATTGTAGAATTGTCTGGGCTATTTCGCTTATCGACTTAAACTCTTATTTAATAGAACTACTATACATGTTTTTGTCTCTATCTGCGTCTTCATTTTGTATATACTATGCAAACGAACACTATGGAATAGCAGTGTGAAAGAGAGAGGTGAGAGAGAGAGAGGTTGTCTGTGTTATTTTGTCTACCTTAATTGCATTGATCATGTACTTTAACAAGGTGGACTTTCTGTCTTGTTCATATGCGACTATAATGCATATTTTTAGTTATTTCTTATATTCCCCTATCTCTCTATATCTTAAATGAAAGAATTGTTATGACTGTTAAAATTTTGTGTCTGCGTCTTTTCTGTACTGTTGACTCTCATATATATATGACCACACAATGTACACATGCACGTCTACAAATACCGACAGATATGGTAAGACTAAGTATGTCTGCGTCTGGTATTATGATGTATTGATTAATTTCTCACTGCTCTTTTTTGCCATTATGTTTTCATCATAACACTGGTGATGGTGTCTGGAGGAGATGGGGGGGGGGGCTTGTCTGATTTTCCTAATATTACTGTTGTTGTCTTTGTTCTTTTTGTTTTCATACTGGGACACGTACTGTCTGGGTGTTTGTCTATGCTTATTTATCGACCTGTCTTGAGTGTATAATTATGTAAAGTGTATCATACAACCCAGTCAGTGTTAATTCACTGTTTTATGAAAGAAAAATTAGAAAAGAATCCGTTTTTCACTGTATCCTTTTCTTCCCCTAGTCACGATAAAGCTGTCGAAATATTTTCTCAACGATACAGAAGTATACAATTAATATTCCATTTGTATGGAATATATAGTTAACTGTTAGTTGGAATATAATTTGAATTGTTTTATGAGTCGTCTATAGTTCACTCCATGATATTTTTTCCTGTGTTTACTTCATTGCAATAACGGATTCCCTGAAGCTGTTAAATAAGTGAATTCTCCAATCTAGGGAGAAAACAGTTTATTAGGTTGGTCGGTTAACCGTCCTACTAGGCTTTAAGTGTTCAAATGACATTCACCAGCCGTCTCCATCTCTGTAAAAGGTAAGCTCCTCCGTTTGACCGCCTCCATGGGCATTTATCAGTTCACCTGCTATTGTAAAGCAAGGCACATTGGCCGTAGCCAGAGAACGCTTTCCACAGGGATACGAGAACATATTCCAGCGTAGTTCTACAAGGGAAAAGGGAAGGGTGTTCGAAGCTGTATTCTAGAACACCTGATCGACTCCTGTCACTCTCACCATGGTTTTAAGATCATCTATCGAATCCATGCTAATTTGCCGCGTTTTCTTCGTTATAAACTTCTAAAGACAGCGGAGGCCTTGACCATTCATGAATTTAAGCCAGGCTTTTGTGTACGAAAAAAGTATGCACAATTCCTACTTCTGCTTTGGCCGTAGAGGGATAGATATTTATTTATTTAGTTGATCTATGTACATTTTCCTCATTTCTACGATTGTTATAATTACTCTCACTTTAAATTGTTTCCACTTGTCATTCTAAATCCAAAATGTTTTTACAATGTTGAATTTTATCTTATCAAATTTCACACCATGTTATTTAACGTTTTATGTTAGTCTACTAACCCTATAATTAATTATACACCCCCTTTCAGCATCTATACCTTTTATGAGTTATTCTACATATGACATTAATTGTTTGCCACTTGACACTTAACCATCATTATAGTCACATACATTTTAATTGCATTTCATATTATTATTTCATGTATTCACACCTTTGATTCAATTCCCTCACCGGATATAATGTCTTAGAAATCATATATATATATCCTATTGTACATCTTGATAATAAATTCGTTGAAAAGAGTCTCTTCGCTGAATATTATGTTCTTAATGTTACAATGGGAATTACTAAATTATGTAAACAAGATTAAAATGGCCATTTTTTCCGGAAGAATGTATACTATCACTAAATTGCTGGTTATTATTATTATTATTGTTTGGTATTAGTTATAATTCGAAGTCCAGAACGTGCGTCTTGCTATGTTGTGTTTCAGACTAATCGTCAACCTGCAAGCTATTGAGTGTTTTGATCTTCCCATTGACCTTCGGAAGCAATCATTCACCGGCTTAACACATCAAAGAAAAAGATGTTATAATGTTAATATAAATACGACTGTACAGCTTGAAAATGAAGTCGTTGAAAAGAAATTTCTTCGCTGAACAAAAAAAACTGTGTTTTTACTTATGAATAATGTTATGAACTGATTTGTTGAGTTACAGTAGTCATTTCTAGTTGTAAGAGAGATAATGGCTACTAAAAGGTTTAGTTTTCAGAATTTAGAGTAAATTAGTCTGAAATCTATAGATTCGAGTGGTAGTCAGTCGAGTATAACCAGTTATGCATCATACTTAAATGGTGTCGTTGTTTTTTGAAGTTGATAGACACTACTTTTCTGTGAAGATAAGTTGTGCACATAACTGATGGCTCTTGTAGTGTAATCTCATAATATGATGATTCACTGACACACTTGGTACACTTTTTCATTGCACAGTCAGCTGAACTAATAGAGACTGTAACAACTAGGAAATTTTTATTTTTGGTTATTCGTCATTCTTGCTGTGTCATGTTTAAAAATATGGGATGATCAGTCGGGCTGTGAGATTTCTCGTTTTACCGATGAACGCTGTTTTAACGTTAGTTATGGAACCAATCTATATCTCGATTCACATAGGATGATAGTCAGACCTTGGATTCACCTACTAGTTGTTATTAAATTCACATATCTTTTATATGAATTAATGATAACATCAAAATGATTCATTGTATGTTATTTTCGTTTCTTTCCCTTTTTTCCGTATATTAGGTGTTGTTGCACTTGGGGAATACATTTATGCTATTGGTGGCTATGATTCTTGTAGTCAGCTAAATACAATGGAAAGGTATGATCCTAAACGCAATTGTTGGGAATATTGTGCATCTATGCTACATCCAAGATCAGCACTGAGTGCTTCTGTATGGGGAAATGAAATATGGGTTTTTGGTGAGTTAATTTATATTTTAGGAATTAGTTGACATGTGTGGAAGTAAATATTAAGAATAATCTTATGTAACATAGAAACACCAGAAAAGCGTATCGTGTTCTGACTATTTGAAAATCATACAGCGAGCACTTCATTTACTTACGATACTTGGGTTGCATCTGGTATATAAGCTGTCGATTGGTAAATGTTTCAGTATAGCTCTCTCGTTATAATTCTTCATTTAGCAATTAAGGAATTACTGTCACTAACTTTCCTGTTATCGTGATCATACGTTCGGTAATCATAAATTTCTTTCCAATGAGTGTTATTATAAAGGGGAAAATGATTTTCTATGGAAAAGAATTCTGTGATAAAATGTGTTTCTGTTTTTTGAAAAAAATTTGAGGAAGCAACTCTTGGACACTGGGCTAACGAGAAATGTTTTTTTAATGACATATGCGAACCGTGAAAAGGCTCATGATAAACTGTAATAAGAGTATGCTTGAGGACAACGTGCTTAGCATCCAATACCTACTTGAATTGCACGTAAAAACCGGTACTCCAACTGTAACTTAGGTTACAAGCGCTGTCTCTGATTTGAAAAATAGTCAAAGCAGCAGAACATTATGGAGTGACTCCAGAGGTGTTTAAGAACGGTGGTAGCAAATTAAGTAAGTAAGTTAAGCAGTGTCTGGGAATCAGAGATAGTTTCTTTGGACTGGTGTAAATGAATGATTATCCCAACAAGGCAAGTAAGTCTTCCTGTGATAATCACAGGCGGATTTACTTGACCATTACGGTGTCAAAAGTTCTAGGCTCAATAATAATACGTAGACTAAGTGGTGTTCGAGAGAAACAAACACGAGAGAACCAAGTAGACTTTAGACCAGGAAGAGGGCGTATTGATCATATCTTCACCCTTCGACAGATTCTGGAACACTGGCGTACTTTCCGACGTCCAATAATTTCCATATTTCTTGCCCTGAAGACGGAATTTAACTCTGTCAACCGAGAGGTACTATAGCTATGTTTAAGATTGTTGGGAGTGCCGAGAAAATACATCGCACTGATGAAGGCACTCTACTCAAACTCATGCAGCTAGCCAGATGAGAGCCTATGGAGAGTTGTCATCTGAAGTGGTGACAACCAGTGATGGCCATCAACGAATACCACTTTCCCCATTTCTCTTTAATTTCACCATAGATGTACTAATGAACTTAACCCTAACTGACTTCAGTGACTCAGGGATTGACTTGCTACCAGGGAATAATCTCGCTGACTTGGACTATGCAGTGGCACAGTGTTTAGGACTCTCGCCGACCATGCACATGGTCCGAGGTTCGGTCCCCTACCGACGCACACCCGATATCTATGGTCGGCCTGCAAAATTTGGGCTACCGATATCGCATGCTGAAAATGCCATACTTGTACTGAAAATACGGTGTGGCATCAAGTTGTAATCAAAAATCAAAAAAAATAAAAATATAGTCCTTCTAGGTAAAGACACTGACAAGATATAGAGTCTTCTGAATACCTTGAGCTGTAATCTGCGAATGTTTAGCATGCGATTTGCTCCCGCCAAATGTAAGATGATGCTACAGAACTGCAATACATTGGCTCCTAGCTTAGAACTAGGAAGTGAAGTGGTAGAGCGTGGTGACATTTCACTTATTTGGGAAGTTGCATCAGCCAACACCAGCGGGTCGATCGCTGACGAAATCTCAGCACGGATACACAAGGCTAGTTTCCAATATGCCAAATCACTCCATCTTTGTCGCAGACATGATGTCCAGCAATTGTTCCGAAGAAATATGTACTGCTCAGCTGTTCTATCCATCCTCTTTTACATGGCCATTGAAAGTGGAAGATATGTAAAGGCTAGCTGTCTTTGATTATAGGTGTCTGCATCCTATCTTCCATGTGTGTTAGGATAGGGTAATATTGAGGTTAGGCGTCGGGTGTTTGGTATGGAGGGAAAGTCAATCAATGAGATTGTGAAGTTACGTTGACTGAGATGGTTGGGATATATGTTACACATGTATAGGTATTGCCTTCCTCATTGGGCAAAGTTAGCTGACATAGGATCAGATTGGGAAAGTGATAGTAGTAGTCAAACCGAAACTTGAAATCATTCTATGAAATATTTGACAACTGGTTTGAGTTATCCGCATAGGAAGGCATAAACTGACTGGCTGGTCCTAAGAACCAATGGTCGGAGACAATCGGTGATATAGCTCAAAATTGTTGTCAATGGCGTGAATGTATTCACTCTTTGTGATTTGCTGTGTCCAATAAACCCTGTTGTTTCTCAACGTTACTATTCTTCCTCCCTCACATTTCTGCTTTTTAATGTTCTTATGAATCTCTTTTTTTCTCTCTATTATCTTCCTTTGTGTGCCACACTCCGTATGACAACTCAAACTTCTGCACTTCTGTGTAGACTTTTATGTTGAGTCCAGTCAGTCATTCTTGAGGATAAAGTATGTTTCATGTGACGAATAAATCAATAAAAGCAAAGTGGCTTTAACGTCGACATCCAACTACCTGTATTCTAATAACTACTTCATGATATCCATGATGATAATTTTTATCAAGGCTGATGATGAGATGTTTACCATCAAACCTCAGGAAATATCTAAGCGATATTATCCTCACTGTCATCTCTATTTATGAAACCACTACAGTAGATATGGGAGATAATCATCATTAGAACAATGAAAAAGTGAAAGTCTGTATTTTCACGGGACAGTAGGTACTAAATAAGCTCATACATCTAGTTCTTAGTTTTGGTGCGGACTGAATTCTGTGTGTCCAGTGTCCACTATAGTCCTACAGAAGGTCATCGCGAACGTGAATAGTCCAGTGGTAATATCTCTGATTGCACCGCTGAGCGACCCGAGTTTGACTCTCAGGGGCTACATGAATTGCTTCAATACTGCAGATATGCCTTGATGACGAGTGCCAACAAACACGAAGCCTATGATCCAGGGCTCCCTACCGAATACCTACAACCATCTAACAATAAGTGTCGGTGTTTTTATTTGTATTCTTTTTGGAAATCGTTGCTATTTCTATTTGCAATACTATTTTCCTGATTACATGTTGTTTCTACCTAATTTTGCAGGAGGTTATGATGGGAGTGAATTCCTTTCCAGTGTCGAAGTCTATAATCCGACAACAGACCAGTGGACTGAACGAACTTTTATGGATTGTGGTAAATCTGGACATGCTGTTGTACTTAGCCGTGAACCATCTTTCTAAGTCATGAACACTATCGCATCAGTTTGATAGTTATTTTTGGGAAAAAACACAATTTATGTGTTGTTTTCTTTGTTAAATTCCACATTCCTTCCTTTATTATAATATGATCCAATCTGGATACCCTTTAGCGCCAACAAAGTTATTACTCAGTCTATTTTACAGGAACTCTCATTTTATCGATGTGGTGAGTTGACAGAAATGTACTGAAAACAAACATGGCCAGTGCTATTTTGATGATATAATCATATTCTCTTCGACTTTTTTTCCCTTGTTTTGCATTACAGTAAGAAATAGCAGGTGTTTTACAACAGATTTTACGACATATTAATATTAGTAAGGGGATTGTGAAAAAATGAAACAAAACAAACTTAATTCAATTGTAAAATAGTCTTATCATGCTCTCCTCTCATTCTTTATTATCGGTGAATGTAAAATAATAAATAGGCAGGCGTATAAACAATAGAAACTCCTTTTTTCTTTTTCCTAACTGTTACTAAGTATTATTATTATTATCATTGTCAGTAATATACTAGTAATATAAAAATATTAGTAGTATTGACACTTGTACACTTTCATGAAAACGGTTTTAATTGAAAGATTTAAGTCATCCCATTATTGTACATACTATCTCACAGTGTTTTTGTATTCATCAATCACGTTACATTTCTTTAATTTATATTTCGTTTGGTTTTGTTTATTTTCATTTCAATCCTGTTGTATCTTTTCATGTTGTCTTTTTAGTTATTCTTGTTGAACTTAATATTTTTTATCTCATATACCCCTGTGTACATGAAACTTTGTGTTTTCCTGTAACTCTGGGAAAATGTTTACCCTTTCTCTACACCCAACGTCCATCATCATTTTTATCCGTTTCCTCTACTTCTTTTACGCAGAAAACAATCATTTTTGTGAATATTATTAGAAAGAAAGAAAGAAAATTTGTTTACCATTCACTTTTAAATTATATTTGTTCATATTAGTGTGCGTGTGCGTGAGACCCATCACTTTCAGATTTGACAGTTGAACAGACACAAACAGACGAACCACTGTGAGGCGTTGCATTATTTCATAGCCATATTCATAATATAAAGCACATTCAAGTAAAAGATTTAGTGTTGAAGTGTGCATTTCCAGAAATCGGTGTTTAATAATTGCTGACCCTCCACAGACTTACTAGTCATTGTTTCTTTTTTATTAATTCTCATGTGTAAGAACAGTTGTCTTCTAATTGACTAATTATTCCATCCTCCCTTTTAATCATCTAACCAAAACCTGTAAATTATCATAAATAAGGGGGAATGATGAACGAACATTCACATATAAAGGAACTGTATTTTTCTCAAAGATCTGTTTTTAGGAAGCTTATTAATTTGCTGAGCCGCGACTTCTTGCTCTTCAGTTGATCTCAACAGTCATAATCAAGATTGTGAAGTGACACGACCTGAGTGAAAAAATTTACCTTTATTCCGAGATACCTTTGATAAAGTGCTGAAGTCTGTTTTAATCCTGTGGTGTTATATAATTCCCCAAAATCAACAAGCTACAACTGAATTGCCACAACATGTTGAGTACTTTGGTGGAACTGTGAATGAAAGATTCTTTGTTGAAAAATTCGACCATTTGTCACGTTATTGTTACATCTCGTCATTGGAGCACTATTTCTAGTTATCTAAGCCACAAAGAGTTATCGGCATATACACTCTGTCAGAGACGATCAAATTGTTGTTTGTACTTTATATTGTTAACTGTTTTTTGTGTAACCACATATGAGTACAATCAAGTTAGAAGTAAGCCTGGCATCGACTTGTTTTCAAATTGTAATTTTTGTAATTGTCTGTATCAGGTGCTTTGATTACCATTTTTCAAATTTTACAAAGCTACAAATAACGTCAAAAAGGAAACTGAGATACAATGAAATATTTCCAAAGTTATTAAAATACAGCGGGCCTGTTTGTCACGTGTACTGACTGAGATTTTAGCAACGGAGTGGAAAGCAGATGAAGTTTTCTGTTACTAATCTCAAACACTGATTGTTTGAGATTTTGAAGAATAGGGAAAGCCTTTCGTCGGTAACAGAAAAATAAGTCTTAGTCATGGAGTGAGCTACATATTAAAAGTAATAGACGAATATTTACGGCTTCAGTTTTGTGTTTTAAGCCAGTCATATGATAGCAAATAACTGTGGATATGCTTTCATTAGTAAACATATGCCCTTATTTGAATACTCATACTAATTATGAAGCTTGTAGTGAACAGTCGTTTGAAGGATATACAATTGATGACGTTCTTTAATTGCGCCCATTGCGCACTTTTACTCAACTTTATGATGGACTTCGCTACTTCCAGATCTGATCCCACATGACTGAACTACCTTAAAGAAAGTCGCTTAGTTGACTAAGAGTATATCTGCGACACATTCCATATGGGTCAGTTAAACAAGAAGGCTAATAAGCTTTTCATTACTATCAACAACTTTCTGAGGAAATTAGACATGATTTTCTCAACTCCACTTTAGTTCTTGTCTTTACTAATGGCAATCTGACTATAGCGATTGAACTGGTCGAGCACTTCAGTCATTTTACATAAATGAGAGGTCAAACCAGTCCTGTTTTAATAGTAATATTAATCACTACTCCAAGCAATTTAGTAGCATCTAAATGTTAAGACAGATACTTTAATTATGACAAGGTGTTGTGTGTATTATGTATCGAATACCTTTGTCCTGAAAACAAAAAGAGTATCCGACTACCGTTACCTTAGTACTGTTTCTCACTTTGCGGATATAGATGTTATGACTAAAGTCTTGCTAAAGACGGATACGACACTCAAATTCATTTGCAACTTTGTGGGAAGAAATCACCACTGTCTCTTTTGGGAACCAAAAATATTTGGATCACAAAGTGTGATCTACTTGATACTATAAATAGTAATCAAGCAAGTAGAGATGTATGACGCTATATGCTACTGATCCATTCATATTGTAACGGTAGAAAAGAAAAAACTTGTTAAAAGAACGTTTATTTAGAATTTGGTATGACTGTATAGTGGAATTATTTACATTCTATCCGAGAATCGTCATTTGCCCAGATCTTCTGTGTTGTACTACTTCCGCCCTTTGTATTGTATTGCTTTGTCTTCTTTTCATTTATCCCATGCTTCTCCGCAACGCTGAATCATTTCCTCTCTTTGATGTCAAATCTGTTTCTCCGCTATTTGATATTTTTACGCCGATGAACGTCTCTTTATTTACTACTGATAAATCCTATCAGTAGCACACACCATAATATGACTAGTTGGGAACCACTCATGCCTAACAGTAGTATTGTCTCCCCTTGAATAATGTGACTTACAAATATGGAATTTGATTCAGTGTATTACCAGTTCACCCAAGTAGCTATACAAAACTCAAGTGGCTTCAACTGGTTCACCTCTATGAGCTGATTAGAAACGCTTGCTCCGCTAATGAGCTTGGCACCAAACGAATGAAATGGCCGTTCAGTCTCTATATTAATTCATTCTGGTCGGTAAGCATTACTGTTTGTCGTGAGTACTTCAAAATTATTCATATCAAAAAAGTCACTCGAGGAAGTTACAAATCAACATCGATTCAGGTGGCTAAGTCATGTTTCACTTATACTATCTCAGTATCTACCTGGGGGTGTTATTTTAGCAAAAGTAGAAGTCTGTCGGAATTAAAGTGACCAAAGCAAAAAGTGTAATGAATCCATGAATTTACTAAATGTTGAGTGGATTTGTGTAGAGAAAAGTAGATTTTTGAGTTGAGGTTTACTTGAAAAATGAGTTCTGTTGCTACTAAGTCTGGTTGATTTACTTCTGAAACAATGAGTTATACTCCATATTTAATTGCCCCATAATTTCAGATTACTTCATTACTTGTGTTTATTGGATTTATAAAAGAAAAGGCATTCAGAGAAAAGCTACTCTTTTCAGCTATATAATTCTTAAGCTGTACATCTGCGAATATAAATAGAAAATTGTCATAACAACAAAAAGAATGTTTTCAAAGATGTGTCATTAGAATTGTGAACATCATGCATGTAATACAGAAAGCGTTAATCGGACAGAAACTGAAATGAAAGTCAGTAAGTACATTGCATGACGCATCGGTGGTTTTGCGGTAGAATGCTTGCCATCCAAGCATGTGGTCTGGAGGTTGATCTCCGGCCGATGTACTCCTTAAAACCTAGCTAAGCCGGTTGTAGAGCCGCAAAAGGGTTGAGCGTGAGGCTAAAAAATCCACTGCTGTTGCAACCTTCAAAGCTCTATCCTGAAGCCGTATGTTCCACTTGGAACGTAAAGGAACTAAATAAATAAATAATAATACATTACACGACGTAATACAATTGATGAGATTCAGCAGAACTGAAATTGTCGAGCAGAGTATTGGGATTTGTATTCCCTGATGTAATGACAACCCAGTGATACAATGAGTAAAACTAAAAGAATTTGGAAATCATGAGTCGGTTGATTCACATCCAGTAGATTAGTAGTAACGTGATCGTTTCATGATGAAAATAGATTCACTTCCTTGCGGAATACCAAACTGCCTGGTGCTTCTCTGTTTTACTGTTTTGTAACGAGATCTACTTTGAGTTTTTTGAATTATGTAGCCCTTCGTCATTATAAATGATATTAATAGTAGCAGTAATACCAGTATTAATACCAACGCTAATAAAAATAATAATAAAGCCAACCTTGATACTTCATTTCACAATCGCTAATATAAGCAGATGTTAAGGTAAGTCATATTAACTGATTGTAAACAGAAAATGTAATTTGTTACAAAACCGAAAAAAACAAATAGAGAAATAATTAAAATTTAACTGACCTAATATGTCTAGACTTTGAATATTAATGATTGTATAAGGGTGATGTTGGAACTACCTTTGTTTTGTTTTGTCTGAGTCTTATTTTTCTGATACACATATGCGTATAAATTTTCTGACGTACACATTGTGCTTTCTGTATGTATTCAATGCCGTCTGACATGCATTCGTCATAAGTATCCTATTTGTTAAATACCGACGTCAGAATATCTGCCCACGTTTAATGAAGTTGGTTGTGCACAAAGACTACGTCACAAATAGATAAATAAACTGATGTAGTTTATGCCTTTTTCTATTGGTAGAGTTTATAGGCATGTGAACACGTGACTGTCTAAAAATTTCAAAGCTCTTCTACTTATGTTATTTGGTATATTTGGTATAGTAACTAACAGGTAAGTGGGACAAGACTGAAGTTTGGTTTTATACAAAGATAAATCCCGTCTACTTCAGTAAATAGATTAACACAGGCGATGAGAAAAAAATTGTTCTTTCAAGTCACCTAATTTCAAAACTAAAATTTTAATGTATTCACTAATATGCCTAATATATTTTCTCCTACATTGGAATTCTGTAATAATACATAGCAAACCTAACACAACCACATTTTTACAAATAATTCGTTTTGATGAAAAATAGAATATGTTTTACCAAGATGTGTCAGTTTACTAACCAAACATAAGTTGGAGAACCACTAATATTTGGCGAAATCAAGCAAATAACTAGGATAAGATTTCATTTTGATAAATCACACAGTGGTGTACAGTAATATTAACAGTTAATATTACTGTACAACACTGTGTGATTTATCAAAATAAAATCTTATCCATAATGGAGTTATGCTCTACCACACTGCCCAAGTTTTATACTTATATCAAATACCTAGGAGCTTGAACTTTCGAAAAGTTGGTTATAAGTTTGTACTTTGAACACAATCCTTTCTTATATGAACTTACAGAAAGTTTCTCATGAAGGAAATAGCTTACTGTTCAAGAGTAGGATTAAGTAGCATTACTTACTTTCATTCTACTAGATTTTCTGCACCAGAGAGATATCTTATCAAGTAACAATCCAAAGGCCAATTACTTTATGCCATTAGTTCACTAGGGTTGTGAAAGACAATCCGTTTGTAGAAAAAATAACCAACCAACAAGAGAGATGAAAAACTAAAAAAAAAATTCATTCAACGAATAAAATTTTAAGAGCTAGTTTTTGAGGGATTTGATAAAGTTGCCTAGAGTTCTAGTGAAAATTCATGACCAGTGGGGTTTTTCTGGTCGGGAGTGAGAACAAATAATCGCCAATGTCATTGGTTGGTCGTCGTGTTAAAATCACAAATTGGTAGGATTTAGAATTCACGGGCCATTCGGTCAGGTTCCAATGGTCTACGAGCTTGATTGGTGACCGGAGGGTCCTGTGTTCAAAACACAATAAGTGCCTACTGCTGATGGCAAGAAGCAGCTGTCCAGTGCCCGCTACTTGCCAATGGTTGTCTAACTGATATCAATCTGTTACCAAAATTGGAATCATATTTTCTTTCTAATGATATTATTTACTAAAGATTCATTAGTATTATGACAAGCAAAATGAATATCGATTATTGGTAACTGGGATAGTATAAAACGATATGTATTCACGAGTGCAGTAGTGATTTTTTTCTACCAAGCGAAAGACACTGCATAATATCTTAGATTGCTACAACAAATGCAAATTAAAAAGACAATTGCAGCGAAAGAAAAGAAAAAAGAAAATTTTCTTCACTGCAACTGTCTTTTTATTATTCTCTATGATCAAATGTGTATATTTCGTGAAGTGCAAAATATCCAGTACACTGCTTAGAAAATGGGAGTCAACAAGGACGAAGTAAAATGAAAATTATATTGGTTAGTAGAAGTTTATAGATTTGGGGAGAAGATTTCTGGAACAAACATACCTTATTCGAACACAGATCACAGGTTTAAACTAATAAGTTGTCTATGGATTTTATATACTCAGTGAATACTTGTTGCTTCTGGAACTTAG